CTTGACAGAAGTTAGTAGCTGAACAATAGGTGCGTTAGATGCGAAAGTTAGTTTAGGCTAACTCTCATTCACCCGAATTAATCCAACTAAAACTCAGGGTTTAGAGGTACATTAAAAAATTACATAATGAAATGACTGAGTATATTGGTATTAAATAATTGATGTATTTTAGAATCAAATAATAATCTTAAATGCTTTGAACGTAAATTTAATTCTTTATTATTAAACTGACTATGTAATAAAAATTTATTTGATATTAGCATACCTATCCAAACACCATTTAAACTACATTATCTAAGTTGTATTCATTCTAATTATTATGCGTTGTTACACGAGCTAATCGAGATTCATCGAGATATAGTGCATACTTGAAACCTTTTACCTCTTCACGTCACAATCGTTTCTTTCATGATTAAAAAACTGTTCTAACAGAACATTGATATAAGCTATTTATTTGAAAAAGTAAGAAATCAGCAATTTTATACTATCTCTACCCATCGAAAGAGAGACAAGCTCCATTATTATCGGCGAGAGAGAAAAACAAGAGCTACGCATATTGTGATAACAATTTAAGGTTCTGGTAAAAGTAGAAAGAAGAAAATAAGATGGAGAAAAAGAATGTAGATACACGTTTTATAGTATATATATATGCTCCCGTATGGTTGTATGATGATACAGGGAGAGAGAAAAAGACAAAAAAAAAACGAAGAAGTGAAAGTAATAATCAAGGTCTGTTTCGAGACCAGAAAGGAAGCAAGACCGCAAAGAACAAGGAAAAGAGAAAGATAAAGATACTATTGTTCTTCTTAAAAACGTTTTGAAGTACGAATATACTCTATAACTGGATGATATATACATAAAAAATCTTCTTTCGAGAGCATCACATTTAATAGAAGGAGATCAAGACTGAGGGTAAGAGTGTTTGTTATCGTTGAGATTTTTTTTATGAGAGTTATCCTTTGAGCGCGATATAACACACAATCCAAAAGGTAATGCTGAACAGTCTCCACCTCTCCACATTTGCATGAACTTGTCGAAGCCAATGCTTTTTTGCATAAATCAGTTCTTTTGAAAAGCACATTGAAACACACTTTATTAAGTTTAATGGTAACTGACATCGCAGAGACCACTGATAAACCATATCAAGATCATTGTCCAAAATCGCGGTGACCTTTTTGTAGTTTTCATCGCTACTATATAGTAACGTGTCATCAGCAAAAATGTGAGTCTTATAAGTCGGGTCGCGTCCAATATCATCTATGTAAATAAGGAATAGTAGAGGACCCAGTATACTTCCCTGTGGTATGCCGCTGTTAGTAAGGATAGGTTTTGATTGTTTACCTCCAACTACTGTTGTGATATGTCGATTTAGTAAGTAATCCTCAAACCACGCAACTAGTTGAGGACAAACACCTTTCTTTCTTAATTTGTACAGTAATCCATTGTTGTTACAATCAGCCTTTGACATAGTACACACAGAAGCAAAATGTTCATTCAATAACTGAGCCTTTTCCTGATCATCATAAATCAACTGAGAGTTGATGTTTTGGAGAACTGGTAGTGAAGATGTATTAGTTCCACGAATGTTGTGCTTAACGAGTTTCCACCAGTATTTACTCCCACTATTAATTCGGTTTATACGTTGAAAATAGCTTTCTTTTGCGTCACGGCAAGCCCTATCAAACTGTCTTTGAGCTTCCTTATACCGCTATTTGGAGCTCACAGATGAATTGAGAGTTTACACTGACTAAAAAGTTTATTTTTACGCCTATACAGCGCTCTCAAATCATCCGTGAACCAAGGTTGATCTCTGTTTCGCAAAACAATATCTTTAAAGGGAATCGATTTTTCAGCTGCTTGTTGAATGCAGCTTAACAGCAAATCACATTTTGTCTGCACGTGACTGTTATGGAAGTTGAATGCATTGCTATTAAGTTTATTCATCAATAGATAACGATAATGGTTCCAGTCCACAGCTTTATAGTTCCAAAACTACCCTGTGAGCACAACTTTCTCACGTACGAAACAAAGCATATAACTTCTTTACGTTATTACTTCATTCGCGTTATAGTATAGTAGTTTTTTAATCATGAAAGATACGATTGTGACGTGAAGAGGTAAAAGGTTTCAAGTATGCACTATACACTGTTAAAAGACACGTACCACATTTCGAGCAGTTGAAGCATAAACACTTGTTCCTTCGAAAAAAGTACGTGACTGTGTGATACTTCAAGCGCGCATTCATCGTCTGAATGGTATCCAAAACTACCCTGTGAGCACAACTTTCTCACGTACGAAACAAAGCATATAACTTCTTTACGTTTATTACTTCATTCACGTTATAGTATGTCAGACATGAATACTGGTGTTCTCAATAATGCTTATTCATCGGTATCAGTTAATGGGAAAGTTATCGTGATAACAGGTGCAACTTCTGGCATTGGTGGTGAAACAGCTCGGCTATTAGCAGCTCGTGGTGCTAAAGTTGTTCTAGCTGGGCGTCGTACAGAAAATGGCGAAAAACTTGTTCAAGAAATTATGTCTAATGATGGGGAAGCAACATTTATCAAAACTGATGTAACAAAAGAAGATGAAGTTAAACGATTAATTGAACAAACAGTTCAGAAATATAACCGTCTTGATGGTGCCTTCAGTAATGCCGGTCTGTTTAATAATAATGATGCCCCACATGAACTGTCATTGGATGATTTTCGATTAATGAATGATGTTAATTATACAGCAATTTTCTTGTGTATGAAATATGAAATACAACAATTTCTTAAACAACAATCTCAAGAACAATCTCAACGAGGTGATCCATTACAACAGCCAAATCAATTACATTTAACATGGTCACCATATTCAATTGTTAATGATTCATCAATACTAGGTTTAACAACGTGGAATGCAGGATATGCATACAGTGGGTCGAAACATGCTATTTGTGGTCTGTCAAAAAGTGCAGCACTAGCCTATGCTAAAAATGGTATACGCATTAATACAATATGTCCTGGATGGATTTATACGGAAATGTCTGAGGAAAACAACTCAGGTGTATCAACACAACTACAGGTAAATCTAACACCAATGGGTAGAATTGGCAATGCAGTTGAATGTGCTGAGTTAGTTAGTTTTTTATTGTCAAACGCTAGTTCATTTATGACTGGATCACTCATTCCCATTGACGGTGGTCATATGGCCGGACAAGTCGTTTTATAGACAAAGAGTGTACGTGAATACATTTTACAGTTAACAATAAACTCTTTAAGTGAATTAAACTCTAAATAAGTGCCACAACAGGAACACTTTTTCCCTACTTTAGCGAAAGGTCACTGCAGCATAAACAGCTATATGAATATTATATTACGTTTGTTTTACTCCCAATATTTTATCTTTGAAAATGTAACTAAATGTAACTTATGTAATTTTTTAATGTACCTCTAAACCCTGAGTTTTAGTTGGATTAATTCGGGTGAATGAGAGTTAGCCTAAACTAACTTTCGCATCTAACGCACCTATTGTTCAGCTACTAACTTCTGTCAAG